GGGGCAAGGGCCGCGCGGTGGACGAGCTGGAGGCCGGCGCCGTCGAGGGCGACGAAGGGTCGGGGGATGGCGGCAGCTCGGCAGAATCCGGCGCGGGGCCCGGCGCAGTGCTGTCGCTGGGTGCCTGCTGCCTGGCGCTGCTGCAGATATTCCGCTCCAAGAAGTTCCCGTCGGACAAGCTGGAGCGTCTGTACCAGCGCTACTTCTTCCGTCTGAACCAGAGCAGCCTCACCATGCTCATGGCCGTGCTGGTGCTCGTGTGCCTCGTCATGCTGGCCTTCCACGCGGCGCGGCCCCCGCTCCAGCTGCCCTACCTGGCAGTGCTGGCGGCTGCGATAGGTGTCATCCTCGTCATGGCTGTGCTCTGCAACCGCGCCGCCTTCCACCAGGACCACATGGGCCTGGCCTGCTACGCGCTCATCGCCGTGGTGCTGGCCGTCCAGGTGGTGGGCCTGCTGCTGCCCCAGCCGCGCAGCGCCTCCGAGGGCATCTGGTGGACCGTGTTCTTCATCTACACCATCTACACGTTGCTGCCTGTGCGCATGCGGGCCGCGGTACTCAGCGGAGTGCTCCTGTCGGCCCTCCACCTGGCCATCGCCCTGCGCACCAACGCCCAGGACCAGTTCCTGCTCAAGCAGGTAGGAGCGCACCTGGACGTAGGGACTGTAGATTGTGGGGTGGGCAGGCCTCGGCCCGACTCCAAAGAGAAGCAACCCATCACCCTTTCTAAAGTGGTGAAAGAGCCAGAAAGACTTGGCTGGGCCAGTTAGTGGTGTCTTCAGAGCCTCTTAACCCCCTCTGAGCCCCAGCATGTTCATTTACAAAAAGATGCCCTTGCGCCGGAGAAGACACGTAGCCACTAATGTGGGGATATGAGTGAGGAAGGAGAGTTGGAGCAGAAAATTCTATGGAGAGGTCCCCCTTCCCTCCCCTGCCCCTGTATGTAAAAGGCCCCTCACAAAAGTGGCTGGACCCTGTAGCAGCCTCTCCCTCCTCGTTTGTTAAGGATTCCTGGATAGAGGGTTGGGGAGGGGAGCCCCTGGGCACCCCTTGCCCAGTCTCAAGGAGGAGAAATGATAACCCTGCCAGTTGTCTGAGGCTGGGGTTTTGGGAGCTGGAGATATCCCTGAACTTGAGGGAGGACTGACAAGTTTGTTTTGTTTACAAAAGTGCCCTAAGCCAAAAAGCTGCCTTCAGCAAAGGTGGGAGGAAGCGTCTGCCATGTGTGTGGTGGTAGTCCCCCTCCTGGCCTGAGCAGAAAGCTAGTGTTGGGTGGCGTGACCCCTTTCCTTGGGTGTTCCTGGCTATTGCTTGTGGTGGGGGCTTTTTATTCCTGCTGAGACTGGTTCCATGCGTTCACCACGGTGGGCTCTGGAGGAATTAAAACCTCTGCCTGGTTAACTGGTGACGCTGCTGAAGGCTTCTGGGAGAGAGGTGTGCTTGCTCTCCTGATCTCAGGTGAGACCAGCCCCTCTGACATGCACACCTGCTTCCTTTAGCAGGGGCCTTGTCTGGAGCTCCATGGGCCTCATCCATTGACCCCTGCTGAGCCTACTTGTTTTCGTGCAGCTCAGCTGTGAGAGTCAAGTGAGCCCTTGATGCAGGCTAGTTTCTCGACTATGGACCCCACTGCACCCCACACCTCTTTCCAGGTGTCTGCGTCCTCTGATAGAACCTTTAACCATATTCCATTGGCATTGCCTTTCTCCTCCCTCTGCCTTTGCTCAGACTTTGATCCTCTTGGGTACTGCATCTTCCTTGAGGAGTTTTCCTGTGCCCCCAGCTTCCTGGGTGTGGTACCCTTCTCGCCACAGGGAATAGCACCAGTATGGGCTTCAGGGAGCTGGGCTCTAGCTGCCACTCCAGAGTATTCTGTGACTGGGAGGAAGAGGATCTGCAGCCTCTCTGGGCCCCGGGTTCTTTTCTTGAGAATGAGAGAATTGTGTATGCTCCTTCCAGTTCCAATCTCTGTGCCAAGCTTCACCCTCTGTGCCAAGACTCACCTCCTACCAGGAGCCCCTCCTTCCGTTCCAGCCACACTGGCCTCTCCCTCTTCTGCACGGTTAACAAGAGAGTCAGAGCCACAGAGTGGAGCACTTACTTATTTTCCAGTGCCCATTGGTTTTGCTCCCCATCCAATGTAAGCTCCTTGGATGCAGGATTCCTGACGTGTATGTTTTTTCTTCTCCACCCTCTCTTCCTTGTCTAGCACATTTTAGGGTACTTAGTAGGGATTTAATAACTGCTTGCCAATTTGGTTGTGTTCCAGTGAGTGGAGTAGGTGGGGCTGTTGAAGCCTAGTTAAAGTTTTTCTGATCTGGGATCAGAAGGAAAACAAAAATTTTTAGAGATCAGCTTTGAACTTGAGAGAGGAACCTATCGAGAGGTGGTGGTATAAGAAAAAGTTGACTGCTATTGTTAGTGCTTATAAAGGCTCCGACTCTTTCTGACCTGAGGACCCAGCTATCATACGGATGTCGTATCTTTGGGCGTTGTTTCTGGCTTGGGTGGAAGGCAGGTTGCCTGGGTGGGTGTAGCTTTTCTGCAGAGGGAAGGGCTTGTCGTCCACATGGAGAAGCAGAGATTTCCAGGATCATTCAGGGTATTTTTTCTGAAACAGCCCAGGCCATCCTAGATGTATGGTTTCTTTCTTTCTTTTTTTTTTTTTTTTAAGATTTTTTAATTTATTTATTCATAAGAGACAGAGAGAGAGAGAGACAGAGAGGCAGGCTCCCCACTGAGCAGGGAGCCCGAAGCAGGACTGGAGCCCGATGCAGGACTCGATCCCAGGACCCTGGGATCATGACCTGAGCCGAAGGCAGACGCTTAACCATCTGAGCCACCCAAGCACCCCTAGATGTATGGTTTCAAGAGACTGGAGTCAGATCCCAAGAAAGGAGTTCTGGCCCTGGGGTGCTCCAACCCCACCTTAGCATGACAATGCCCTGGCCACAGCAGAGTGACTGTCTGACTGACTCGCCTTCTTTCTCTGGCAAATCCCCTTTCCTCCCCCACCTTCACCACCTCCCACCCCATGCTGCTTTTACCCATTGCAGTCTTTAGACTTGGCTGTAGGCTTTTGGGTGGATTTACACTTACTTCTCCCGTTCTGCTCCGTTGAGGACAGCAGAGCTTGTTAGCGATGGTCCAGGACAAGGGAATGCGAACATTCTATTTGGCTTCAGAGAAAACTGTATTTTGGGGGGTCTGTATTTGATTATGCCTGATAGAAAATTTATGTTTCTTGACCAAACCCTGATGGATGGTAGGGAACTATAGGTGGGACAGTCTAGCATTAACCTCTGCTTCAGATTACCCCAGAGCAGCAGGTGTTTGAGGCTGGCATTAGATGCCTTGTTCTTTTCTTTGATAAAGACACATGTCCAGGGAAACGGCGGGGGGGGGTCGGGTCAGTGCATGGTTTCTAATGTTGGGGCTTTGGAAATTCTCCCTCCACCCCCCCGCCCCCATCCCATGTGCCTTGTAGGCCCTTGGTAAACTGTGTTCTTCACTTCTCCTTCTGCAGGGCTGACCCTCTTGCTCCCACAGCCCACGTCCTCAAAGTCATTATCTGACCTGGGTATTTTCTTCTTCCCCACCCCCTCTTTATGTTTGGGGCTCTGTCCTTTGCTCCAATTAGGAGGAGAAATACTTGGTTTCTCAACCGGTGCCTCCTGAGGGTTTTTACTCAAAAGATAACCAAGAGGTAGCCCTCTTTGGGGGATGGTGTTTCTTCCCTTCCTGTATCTTTTGCTCTAGCTCTTCCCCCAGTATCCATCCCCCTCCCCCTCTGCTTTCCCTCTCACTTCCTTTCTCCTCCCGCCCCCCCTTCCAGTCCCCTGTTGCTCTCTGCCCACCTTCCTTCTCCTCTCGTCTGCCTGCCGGCTTGTGCTGCTTCCCCATCTCCTACTCCCTGTTTGCAGCCTCTCAGCGTCTCCTGTGCTCTTGTCTCTCCGTTGTCTCTTCCGTGGGATACAGCAGGAGCGTCACGGGGTTGTTTTTTTCCTCCTTCTTTGCCTGTTAGAAGTCCCTCTGCTACACCCATACCATAAATAACACTCGAGCATCTGCCAAACACATTCCTCACTTGTGTTAATAGGGCTGCAATGATGCCGAGCCTGTTGCCATGGCGACCTCATTTTTGTTTGATGGTATCCCACTCCGCTACATAAAGCCTGGGCACGCACTCACACACAAACAAGCACGCTCACACAACCATTACATATGCTTAGCTATTAAAGATCATCTTGGAGAAAGTATCTCTGGGCCCTATGGGGGCAGGTGGTCACCGGCCCGAGGAGATGAGCATCTCTGCCGTCCGGTGTTACTCCAGCAGGTGATAATGGATTGGAGAGAAAAGTAGAGAGTCCTGTTCAGATGTGGGGTATTATTATTCTGCAGCCACAATAGGCCTGCCCGACGTGGTTTCTGAGAAGATTCTGACCCTGTGCGGGTCCCTGTGAGCTTGAGAGAGCTGTGAGAAGAATGGGTCATGCTTCATGGTGTGGGGTGACCCGTCCTCCTCCCCCGCCCATCTTCACTGCCTTCCTGTCTTCCCCCACGACCCTTTTGGAGAAACTCCGTGATATCCTGCATTTCGTCCTTTGTGCCTATTTGAACCTGTAACTGTCACCAGTTGTCCCAGAGATCAGAGAGGCACAGGCGCTTGTGTGGGTGATGTTCTGTGACTGTGAGCACGTGTGAGTGTCTGTAGCTAGGAGGCTGGGATGGAGGGGGTGGGGATGCAGAGCGCGAACTGACTGCTGTGTATGTGCGGGTGTGTCTGCCCGTGTGGTGTGCACACACACGTGTCTCTGTGTGTGTGTGTGTCTGTTGTGTGGGCTGACCCCAGCACTGGAGGTGGGCCTGGGGAAGCCTTTGTGTTGACTTCCCAAGGAGATCATTGCAGCTCTGTCCTGTTTATTCTTGGCTGGTGGCTGGCTTCCAGGGGTGGCCATTTGCCTTTCTGATTCTGGGCCTTGACTGCCCTTCCGACCTTCACCTCTGGCTCCTCAGGGCAGTGCCCTGGATGCACATCCCCTACTTTCCCTAATGAAGTTGGGGGCTAGACTCGAGTGGTCAGCTCCCCTGAAATACAAGGCTCCTATCCTTCCCTTTTGAAGACTCTTCCTGCTGCCCACTGACTCAGCTGCCCAGGGAGCCCCACTGAAGGGCCGCCTCCTTGCCCTGGAGCTCAGCCCAGAGGCCTGTGTGGTGGGTCACTGTGTTGGCTGTGTGTGCTGCCGCCGGCCGCTCCCCCCGGCTTGCTGGGGTGCTGTGGGGGAGGACGCACTTCTCCTGCAATGGCTGGCATTGCCTGCCACCCGTTATTCCCCCCATTTCTGGACAGGAGACATCAGGCCTTAGTGAACTCCAGCAGCAGCAGCGGTCTGGGCTTGGTGGTGGGCTCTGAGTTTGGAGCCGAGGAGGGTCTGCTTGGGTCGTTTTTTTTTTTTTGGCTAATTGTTTTTGCCAATTCTCTTTGCTAATTGTTTTCAATTACATTGCCTCCTTCTCTGTGCAACAGGGCAGGGGTGTTGGGAGGGGAGCAGAAGCTTCTGGGGGTGGGGTCGAGCAGGGCTTCTGGGTAGGGGGTTCCAGATCCCAGGGGTGCCTCAATTCCTATGGGGAGGACTTC